TTGTAGTACAACTCTTCATCCAGAGGAGGGCAGCATGGCTCTGTGGTTGTGCTGTAAACAGAACAGCCCATGTGGAGAACTGCACATTCTGTTTACTTTGAACCAGAAAGAGAGCCAGGAAGTGTCAAGTACTCACTATTTATATTTTTCACCAAGTAAAAAGCATCTGACGTGTCAAAAGATCCCGACAATTGGCACATCGATTATAGTTCTGTAAACCAGTAATACGCATGAAGAATTATGTCCTGATTTTTTTAAATGAAGCTTGGCAGGGCATTTCCTCTCTGACAAAGAGTTAAAGATAACCACCCAACTGTGCTTGTTTCTTTGTGTTTGGTGAGCCATGTGCTGCCCCTTGTAACTGCAGTGGTAGGGAGTCAAACCTACGGGCAGGATGTTACCATGGTAAAAGCAACCAAGGGTGCTGACGATCAAATTAGATTTTTGGTTTTGAGAGGTTGCTCAAATTGGAAATTTGTGTTTCAACCTGTGACTATATAAATACAAACCTTTAACTAATAATAAGCTAAAAATGTAGTGTGTGAAAAATTCTAATGCTACTATTGAAACAATTCATGAAACATTCTTCCTTTAAATTTTTAACAATTTTAGCTGAAATATCTTCTTGACAACAATTGAGTGAACCCCCATTTAATTTGGCACAGACATTAATGTTCCCTCAGGATAATTGTAGTAACCGGGACACAAAGACAAGAGTGACAATGTCTAATGTTGATGAAGCAAATCTTTCTGAGCCTGGGGGTTACAACCTACATGTGGGTTACAACCTACAGTAGATTTAAAATGTCATTCAAAAACACTGCATTTGATCATTCCAAAGTTGAGCATAAAGGTTTGTATTGTCAGAAGAGGAACAAATTTGTAAGAGGAAGCAGTCTACACAAGCATCGGCAGTTTCTATAAACTGTTGTGTCTACAGCCGGCTGGAGTTTGGGTGTTGATTGATTCATGTTAAATCCACACAATCTCTGTCTGTCATTGTCACAAGTTGGCGTGTTTTAGCATCAACCTGAAGCAACAATGAGAGTAATGTCAAGCATTACATTAATTATCTGTGTATTGATGCCTGTCACATATGATATAACTAGTACATGCAATGGCAGGTCTGTTATAACAGAAGTTTATATTATGTGTTGGCCCTTTCTAGAATACACTAATTGCTTCAAGCATCTGAAAGAAAATACCTACAAAACAAACAAAGTGTGAGCAGTAGATGTGTTTTGACAAGATTTAGATCAAGGAACTTGGTGGATGAGTGGTATAAAATTTAACATTTTCAAAATAGAAGGGTAGTTTAGCACTTGTCATTTTTTTTACCCAGACACAATGATGTTAATTTTGTATGTGTATAATTAACAGACAACTGAGTATGTCATGTGTTACTTTACTTTGTTGATCAGTGGTTTGTGTAAGAAATATGTGTTTTAAAAGAAATTATAAAAAGTTATTAAACTTATCTGCAATCAGAAAATTAAATAGTCAATTTAATCTTCCTGAAAATAAAATATATTAATCTATTTCAGCAATGTTCTTCAAAAGTTGTAATGTAAATTGAGGACATAAGACGTATGAACAGTATCTGTTGATGTGACTACCATTATACACATGAAAAAAAATTGGTAGTTGATTGTTGTCACTTCCCTAGAATTACAGAGAAATTGGCAACCACATCATCTTTCTGCTGTGCTATAGCCGTGCTGTAGAGCTGACTCTCTATGAAATCGTTGGTGACTTTATGAGCAATGGAGGAGATCTATGTCAATGTTGAATATGACAAACCCGTCGACCCAAGACCTTCAGCAAATCAGACAGGTAAGACCAGTCAGACTGAGAGTTTGTGCATAGATGTATATTATCATCTGTCATTATTAATATTGTACACTTGACTGTATTCACTGGTCTTTCAGGTCCCAGGAGCTCTGAGAGGAGATTTCATGGATCTGTTGTTTTCTGTCTGGGTCTGTTCACTGTTCTCCTGCTGGTTGGACTCATCGCCCTCAGTGTCCACTGTGAGTCTGGTTTTCATAAGTTAATGTCAGTTTGAATTGTGGTTTTTAGGAACATTGTTCTGCTCTAAAGATACGGGTGTCCTGGCTTTTCTGTGATGTATTTTTTCTTGACTTTTGTCAATATTTTCCTTTACTCATTGTCTTTAAAGCACTTGATCTGTTTTGAAAAGCACTACAGAATAAATTCAATCACTGACATCATGAAGTATTTGGAACAAACATGAATTTGGTAAAATGGTAAAAAGTCATAGTCATACAGCTAAAGCAGCAATCTGTGGGGGATAAAAAGACGTGTGGTGCTAATTTGATATGCAAATTCTGTGTGGCGTTATCTGAGTTGTCCGACACTGTGGCACAGTGTCTTCACGTGAGTGTCAAAAAGGTGTTGCATGATTAACAAGTCAAAAGAGCTTTATTTACACTAACACACATTTTATACAAAGATCCAAAATAGTGATCTCGCTGTCAAAGCAGAGGGATATGGCGCCACCTTGTGGAATGTTTACAATGAATGCAGATCAGGCATTAAAATCTAGTCCACACATTATTTTATAATTAAATAAAATTATAATCAATATTTCCAAATAATTCAAACTCAAATATCTCACCAATATAATATATATTGGTGGGATGTCTAAGTTTGAATGATTCTGATCCAAATCTTACCCTGTCATTCCTCCCATTGATTATTTTCTCAGATAAAAGGAGTTATCCCCAGGCTAGCTTCCTAAAAATAAATAAATATAAAAATGAGCTAGTCTTTTGAACGGCTCTTTAATAGGAACGGCTCCTCAAGATCCAGCTCCCTTCAAAGAGCCATAAATCCCATCTCTAATAGGAAGAGGTGCAGCTGTACAGGTGATTTAAAAATTCCTGTGGCTTCATTTTGTGATGTTTCTGTTGGTGACATGACAGCCCTTTTGTTAAGGGTGGTCGATTTACAAACTGGTGCAAAGGCTCCCAAAAATTTATGGAATATGAAAAATTGCAGTTACGTACATATTCAATTCAAAGAGGTAGCTGCTCTGGGTCGCACCATAGAGTCTGAGTAGTCATAAAGCTTTAAAATTGGCACCAGCTGACCTAATCACAATTGCTGACATGCCTCAGGCCTAAGGAGCTGACAAAGGTCTGAGACCTCAGAAACGTTTGCACATTTATGTTTTAATTTTTGTTTTTGGTGAAAATATTCTGTTTAATGTTCTATACTGTAGAGATGCTGTGTTTAAACTGGGATGGATGTTGTAAGAGTCTTGCTGGGTGTCTTTAGGAAGGATTGCATCTGTAGGACTCCCCACATGTGTACATTTAGATGCCATTTAAGCATTCTGTGAGTGGTGTGATTGTGACATGTGGGTTGTCACACCCTAAATTTTAAACTGACCTCCTCTCCAGGGCAGGGACTTACTTGTAGTACATGAGGGACCTCAAAGTGTAAGCTGGGATGCCACTTTGTGCACATCCTCAGGTTTGATGCCGAAATCCCATCTTTCTTTGACCTCCTGGACCTGGAGGGACATGCATGAAGGAGACGCACAGTATGATGTCACACTGATCTCGTCCATTGATATTCTAGTCATACCAGAGTTTGACTTCAGCCTTTGAGTTGAGATATTTAACAGATTGCATAAGCAAAAAAAAAATAGGTATACATGTCTCAGTGGTCTGTAAACATATATGCATTTATTTCAGACCATGACTCATCTGCAGAACTCTCCACCCTCAATGACAAGCTGTCCTCTATGTCTGAAGAGAGAGACCTGCTGAATTCCAGCCTCACTGAAATGACTAAAGAGGTGGACAGGCTTCAGAGATTGTCCAAACAGAGTGAGTGTTTGCCTGTTTGGGTTCTGCACAGCTGTCGAGTATAGAAAAGCATGATTCAGAGAATATGATTATGACATATATATCGGTAACACTTTACTTGAAGGTATCGTCATAATAGTGACATGATACTGTCATAACTGTGACATGATACTGTCATAACTGTGACATTACACAGTCATGAACGTGTCATAAACATTATGTCAATGTCATAAACGTTTATGACTGCTGTCATTAAGTGTCATTCGGTTTTTGTAATGACAACTTGACATTAATCAAAGTGACATTACCAGAAAATGTCTTTGTCATGACAACTTGACATTAACAAAATATGCATCTATTTTTGTGTTTATGGCAAGTTGACATAATGATTATTATAATTAGATGTGCAAGGTTTCAGACCAATTCTAGCACTTGGTCATAGATGTTTGACAGGATACGGACAGGATACCCAAAACTGACTGTCATGACACCATTATGACAGTGTAATGAAGATATTCTTTGACCTCAAGTAAAGTGGTAGCATTTTGATTTGTCATTAACATATTATGAAGTGGCTGGCTGTCATGACACCATTATGACATACATCGGAGAAACTGATGTAGAGCTCGGCAATGGAAGCCGTCCTTGCAATCGTGTTGCGGTCAACCCCCAAGTGCTCAAACGATCTTTTCATGGATCCAGTCTTTTTGAACCTACTTTAGTGCCTCCTTGTATCGCCAGATGACACCATCAACGGTAGTCACTTTGAAGAGAAGATGACAAAAGTTGAATTAGTTTTTTTTTCTGGTACTTAGTCAATGTTTTGCCAAATTGTATTATTGTTGTCACAACTGAGAGACTGTGATGCGTTGAACAAAGAGGGATAATGATGAAAATGGCTGAAACTCTACTTTACAGTAACATCACACTGTGTTATGAAATTTGGCCATTTTGCTACTCTGCTGCAGTTTAACAGGTAATATTATTATAATATTATTAAATATTATATAAATATTAGCACTTCCTCCCTGAGGTGAAAAAACACTTCATTGTTTGTTATAGACTGAATATGTGATATAGCAGCTAAGCAAATCTGTAGGGACAATGTTGATTAACAATCAGGTCAGGTTTCAGTTACAGTTTTGTTACCCCCATGGATTCTTTGAGTGGAAAATGGATGGAATTCCTCTTCAAGAGCAAAACCTGTTGAGCCAATAGCTCTACTTACTCCTTGAGCGACTGTGGGGCTCTAAGGTTTTCACTGGCTTCTTGGTCTTCTTCTTCTTCTTCTTCTTCTTCCTCTTCTTCTTGTCCTCCTCTTCCTCTGACTTCTTAACCTCTTCTTCCTCTGAGGAGAATGGCCCATCGGAGGATGAGGATGAGGATGAGGATGGTTCAGGGGAGGTAGATGAGGTCAAGATGATTTCTTGCTTTGCCCCCTTGCGAAAATGACCTGTGAAAATGAACATGTCGAGACACTACAGCGTAAACAAAGTAAACAAGTAAATAATATACTATATATATATATATATATATATATATATATTCTTATATGC